TATATACACACTGGCAACAGAATATTGAAAAGTTTCTAGAGGTCATTTCGAATGCCAATGTGCGAGCCAGAAGACCTAACTTGTTTCCCTGGCCTGCATGGTCAACGCTTTTACCCCCTCTACTGTTATTAAATGTTCTGTCAAAACATTTCTGCATTTCACACCCTACTACTCTGCTCACAGATGGGTCTAATTCAGCCAATGATATGGGCTGCTTAATCATTTTACTTCATCATATGTATACTGCATGTTGTACCTTCTCCTGAAGATTAGCATTTTGATAGCAGTACATTAAGCAATTCTGTATGTTCTATACCAGCTGCTTTTTATGCACCAATGTTACTCTGCTATTGTGCCTGACTCACAGTACCCTGATGGCTCTTAGTCTTTTTAACCCTTCACATGACTATTGTAACATTCACAACCTACCGCGTAACATAATACAATTAGGATCCCTTAATTGTTTCAAGCGTAGGTTACACATATATATGAATGAGATTGAGTGGATAAAAATAAGAGCTGCCTCGTATGGGCCAATAGGCCTTCTGCAGTTACCTTCATTCTTATATTCTAAGATCTCTAATGGTAAATATCCAATGCTGGCTCTTCCTTATCTTAGCAGATTCAAGACACTTACATTTTGTGAGGTACCCACTCATGTTGGTCCTCTCTCAAATGAATTTGCAGATGGGCAACACTGCTAAGGAGGCTATTCATGCCTGTCCCATCTTCAACAAAGGGATTCCTTATTTGGATTTCTACCCAGTCATTCACACTGCAACCCACAACCACATCATGATTAATGATCGGGTATTTCTGATAACTGCATACTGTACTCTTAAATGTGGCCTATCTCCATCGCCTTCCCAAAATACTATAATACAAAGTGGAAAATAGCTCTAACTAGGCTGTGTATCAAGCTACACATGCTTAACTCATGAGCACTTCATGGAACAATGTTCTACAGCTTATGTCTGAACTACATTGTTCCACTTACAGTTCTCTCTTTCCCTTGTAGAATGGCCTAGTTTTCAGGATGATCATAAGTCTTCTTTCTTCAATGTCCTCGAGTCACTTGTCCCTCAAGAGGATCATTGGTAAATCCAAAGCCTTTGACATCGCTCATCTTATGTCGTTTTGCTCTTGTATTGGCATCCTGATATTTAGCATATTTTGAATACCTTGCAACATAGTTCTAAATAGTTTTTCCGGCTCATTGTGTTCCTTTCGGTACGATTCCTAAATGTTGGAATTCTCAATGATCTACTCATTCCAGCACTTACTGGAATGATGGGTTCGGTTCTGCAGTTGGGTTACAGTCAAAAGGTCCCATTTTCAATACCCATCGTACAACATGACTATTTCAGCACCATTTCTTTCCACCCGATGCCTTTATTCACTTAATAGTAAATTGGTACTTGGGAATTAGGCAACTGTTGTGGGTTGTATCTTGAAGGTCAGCAGCTGGTTTAGGGAAACTTCAAGCTTAACAGTCTTAAGTACCCAACTATAGGAAACCAGGAAAAAACAGACTGTACCAGTATAACCATAAATTAGATTCATAAAATCTTGCAATTTACCTCTTTTACTCTAATGGTTGAGGCCCCGATATTGATAATTCTTTCAACTGTATCTATATTACAAGTATCGCAATCCTAAAAGCCAACATGTGTTCATGTAAGGAATAATTATTTCTCGACAGAAAATTAATATATATCGACTAAGGATTGGCTCTTTTATACGCCAATATTTCTGGATTTCTCAAAATAGTTTTAACAAGGGAATGTGGAGCACCATATGTACTGTAGCGTGTGCCTAGGCACATCTGGTACTGTGAAGATTCCAGGTTTCGATCACAGTCAACGTGATGAAAGATGTGGACGAGACCTGGGTCAGCAGACCGGAAAATTTGGATCCCTCTTCTAAGCACCTACAAAATGATGGGACAAAAAAAACAAAAACACATTTAAAAGCTAAAAGAAAAACATTTAGAGGTATAAGTTATTCTTGGTTGCATAATTGCTCAAGCAACATTTAATGCTCATTATTCAAATTACTCAAGAGAACTGGTAATGAGTCAATTTTACCAAACTTGTACTAATTCATTCTACAGTTATAACAGGTGAACAGCAACAATACTTGTTAAATTATTACCTTTTCAAAGAGATCAACATCCTCACCACCCCAACCAAGAATGGATGTGTCTAGACCACCTGCTAACTCTAGTTCAGATTTGTACATGGCCACGATACCAAATCCAAAAGCTCGCCAATACCCAACATCCTCGTTAATCTAGTATGGAAGAAACATTACTTCTAAACAAAGATACAAATGTTGCAACTACTCATTAATGAGAAGCATGGTACCAAGTCAGTTTTTTATAGGAAATACCTGGTAGTATTTGCAAGAGGTAAGAGAAAAGAATATTATTTAATAATAAAGTGCAAAACCAAGATAATCAAATGAAAGACTAATATCTAAAGGTGATAAAAGTACTGACAAAATGTAAAGCATATTTTAACACGAGCCAATGTGATAAATCCCAAAGAATATTGCTGAAAATTTAACAATTATCATTGTTTCTGTTAACTTTATTGTATAAGCAATATTTTAGTCAATTTAAGATCACCTTTAAACTCTATAGGATCAAATTACCACTGCAACACTTTAAGCTACACACGATGAGTGAGTCACCTGGACAAATTGATAGAATGATCCAACAAATCACTACTAGTTTCACTCGGGTGTAAAGTAATATGAAATTACCTAAGTGTACATACAGGATGAGAGCTATACTCATGGTGTTGAAGCGTCATATGACAAAGTACTCTGTCATATAATGCTTTGAAACTAGAGGACTGACGGTTTTTGGCTTCCACCACCTTCTCACTTCAATTCTTCCAACAACTTACCGTCTGAAGGTTTTTTGGCCAGCTTTCTTTCCTTATTTTGAAACTATGTCCTCTTGCTCTTAAAGTTGCAGTTCTCAAAAATTCTTCTTTGTCAATTTTATAGCTTCCTGTTACTATTTTGTAAGTACTGATCATATCACCCAATTTTTTCTTCTATCTATGGCTATAATATATTTAATGCCTCTAACCTTCTTCATACCTCTTATTTTTCAGTTCCAAAAGCCATTTAGTTGCTTGTTTTTGCATCCTCTCTAGTTTAGTGATGTGCTTTTTAAGATAAGGGCACCATACAACCACTGCATATTCCAACTATAGTTTCACAAAGATCATGAGTAATTGTAGGAAACAGGAGACCAAACACAAGGTACCAATTGGGGGATGAAATCCTTCAACAATCAGGTAGAGATATCACACGTGTTGATAGCACACCAAACCTGTCCCCCTGAAGCCCATATGAAAAAGATATCAGCAGCAGCCTATGTTAGGTTGGCCAATATAAGAACAGACTTTAGAAACTTGAGCAAGGAATCATTCAGAATCTTGTATTCCACATGTCAAATCAATACTGTATGTATCATACAGTATTGCATGGGGCCATACATACATATGGCTCCAGTATGTAATCCATACCTAATCAAACACATGATTAAACTAGAGAAAGTTCAGAGGCCAGCCACCAGACAAGTCCTGGAGCAGAGAGGTACAAGTTACAAGGAAAGGCTACCAGAACTAAATCTGACATCATTTGAAGACAGAATACTTAGGGGAGACATGATTACCACTCACAACATTCTCAGAGGAATTGATAACGTCAAAACAAACTATTTAGCACGGGTGGAATATAGGTCAAAACTTAATACTGTATGTACAGTCCTCAAATGAGCCACAGACACATTTTTTCGGTGTCAGAGCAGCTAACAAATACTATTTATTTGGAATTTATATGGGGCAGGCAGACTCCATACACAGTTTTAAATGTGACATAATAAACCCCAATAGATTCAAGAACCTGTACACCAGTTCAGTGATGGTTGAGAGGCAGAACCAAAAAGCCAAAGCTCAACCCCCACAAACACAACTGGATGAATACTATGAGTGCACAATTACCCAAAACATGCTGACCTACAACTGGAAAATTACTGCCAAAGAATATCAAGCAAACAAGAGAAGAACAATAACCTGTTGCTATTCTAAATTACACATTTGTAAGAGCTAAAATTCTAATAATTATCTCTCCTACTTTTCCCTCTTACTTTCACATACATGCTTTGGTATTTATACAACAGCCTGTTAATTTAATGCACTCACCTCCCACTCCACATATCTTTAAAGATCTCTATTCTTTTTTAACTACTGCACTACCATTGCATTATAAATTAACAATATTTTAATAATTTTAAAAAAGTATGAAAAGGTTAGTAGGAAAACAAAAGGAACTCCTCTAAGCCTGTATATAAACACATTTTACAAATATTTATTTCCAGGAGCAATAATTTGTTTTTTTACTGAATAATAAAACACTTACCAAACTATGATCATAATTGTCTTCATTACTGCCTTTTCTTGTAAATTTGGGGTCAAATTCACTGAACACGATGGGGTAGTAAATCTGTAAAATTTGCCTTTTTAGTATGCTGATATATGCCAGCATCTATACAAAAACTACATATGCACACAATTAAAAAGCAGATTTGCTGCAAATAAATTTTTAATTAATAAGGCATTATGAGGGAAGAAATGCTTTTTCTTCTGAGCTGTTCATTTTCGTTGCTTCCCAGGTTAGGGCCTGGGTCAATGCGAGGTGCCATTGAAGCACAAGGCTCTAGTTAACAATTTTCCATTTGTAGCAGGTAACTTTGCAAATGATCTTGCTACATCATTAAGGTGGGAAACATTTGTATGTGTCTCTGTTCCCACTTAGTGTAATGTAAGACAATAAACAAATACAAATCATTCTACACACCTTGCAAGCAAAGCCTATTATCACTGACAACTACATATTACCCACATGATCATAAATAAAGACCCAAGCACCAAGCCCTTGCCCAGAGACTACCATATTTTTGGCTATTGTTTTTTTGTCCGCTGCCACAAAGTATATATTGTATTTACACGCGCAAAATCATTTTTTCTCCAACAAAACCACTTGAATGTGACTTTCAATAAATGTATGATGAAACATTTCAATTTTTTCCCATAAATATGGTAAGTCATAAAGTTATGACTATGACAAACATCAGCTTTAAAGGCATCTCTTGAGTGCTGCAGCCCTTCGACTATCAGAACCAGGGAAGAGAACCCTAAAAATAAACTGAAGTGGAGAGCTAAATTAAAAGGCATACAAAAACTGGGCACCAATCCATTAAGTGAACATTAAAGCATGGAATCCTCTGTAAAGAGACAAAGTCTCAATTAAACACAGCAGAGCTGTCTGGACAGCTGCATATTCTAAGTGCCGTACATTATTAGCAGAGCAATAAGTGGTGGTTTCATGATTCCAAGATTACCCCAGTTGAAATTGTCGGTAAACCGACACCATTTACTAACATTGAATAAAATAGGAAGATAATTTTGCTGCTGGTTTGTATTGTCTAAACAAATTAACTCATAGAAAATGAGGCAGTGGAAATTTCCTGGGAAGAAAATGAATATCATTACCATATGTTGCCATAGACTTCACCAGCTAATTCTGTTGTGAATTATTCTTAATGCACCAGTCTTTGAACTGGAAAATCATAAAAAATTTTCCTTGACTCAACTTAATTATCAGTACTAAAATAGATTAAGTGTAGGCCCACTGTCCACTTCTTGACGACATCTGGACAAGAAGCCAGATGCGTCAGTGGGTGGAGAGCCAGTTGCCATTATTAAATTTAACAGAAAAGTCTCGCATGCAGCTCCCTTCAAGCTCCACACAAAAGTGCCCTTGGATGTAGTGTTATGGGATGTAAAGTGCTCCCATTATCAACACATTCATCGTCTACTATAAAGGGAGGTGGTCTTTCAGATTCCAGTTCTATCTAGGTTATTGTTGGACAGTAATAATTATATTTAGGAATTCTGGTCAGGACACGTAGCGAGTCACCCAATAGGGTAAATATTATTTAACTCTTACCCAATAAATTGTCAATATTTCCCCTGATAGAGCTGTCATATTTAGGTTACTACTATATTATTGTGTGTGCCCTTTGACAGGTAAAATTGATGAGGAAGAAGAATTAATAATTACCTACCAACTAGTGCATGTGGTGAAGTCAGCCTCATCCACAAGAGGAGTATCGACTAGTGTGATTCATCCGTGTTCATAACTGGATGTCTAGACCATAATCATCCATACAGACAAGCTGTATTCAATTTTAGTTACTAACATATGAATTCTCATACTGTGGTGAATATCTACTAATCAATAATTTTGATTATATATATATATATATATATACACATACATATATATACAACCATAACCCCCCCCAGAATGTGTAGAAAGCAATTTGTGGGATCTTAAATCATACAGTCCACTTCAAACATCATACAGTTCGCTATCGAAACAAATAAATTAATATAAGAAATAAATTACTAAATTAATATAAATTAATATATAAATCTCACAAGTCAGTTTTCCCAAATACAATATCAATGAATATTCAGCCCCTTAAATTATAAATTAAACCATGCTATTCCCACAACCAACATATTAACCCCTGAAACATCAGATATCTGTTCAACAGATTTAGGGTTCACCTGTAAAACAGTCATCACAGTTTGAGGATAATCCAGTTGAAGGCTGGAGATTAGGGCCTCAACATCCTCTGTTGTGTCATCTTCCCCCAGTGAGGAACGGAAGGACACTACTACCAGCCGAACGTTCTCTTCACCTTCAAGACACACTCGCCGGAAGTCATCTGCATGAACAAATTTTTAGTTCTCAGATTCTTAAATATTTGTCATTTATACATTGTGTAATAATATTAATATACAGTATGGCATTCACATAAGCATCTTCGAGAAACTAATTACAGTCAATATAAAATTTTCATTAACAGTTTGAAAAACAATATCAGTACAGAATATTTTATCTAGAATATTAACATATTTATTTAATTTTATTTATTAGGTTAATACTGTTCAATATTTAACAATAAACTTATGCCTTAACACATGGGAACCAAAAATAAAGACATACTGTACCCATAAAGCGTTGAAATGTTTTGAACCTTCCTGCCAGAGGTAAAATTAAATTAATTTTCTTTGGCTTAAGCAAAGTTCTTGGAGGCTGTGCAGGTGGCACCTAAAATAAGAAACTGCATCTTAGAGTCTTGAGTCTATATTAAAAAAGTAATGGACTCTCTGTTTACCCCTGTACTTTGTTGTATCTTAATTCACCAATACAACCATCTATTCAGTGTACCTTACTTCTAATTCACCAATACAGCCATCTAATCAGTGTACCTTACTTCTAATTCACCAATACAGCCATCTTATTGGTGTACATGGCTACTAATTCTAACTTTGTTATCAATATATACAATTCACTTATGAACTCAACACAAAAACCATTCCACTGCCATAGCCGTTTCAATCATCTACTTTCTTGCTCTATTTTCTCTGACTCATTCACAAATTTGTTTTACTTTAATGTACCTTCACACTCTTCCTATGCCTACTAACCTTTACTCTATTACTCATTTATTAATACAGCCAATCATAATGCCATACTGTATTCCTGTAAATTCCCAAAATTTCTCAAAGCAGTTGAGCCCAGTTGAGTTGTTTAGGTGAAAACATCCATAAAACTATGGATGTTTTACTGCAGAGTGATGTGCTCATTTTACACGATGCTCCTGAACATAGTGTGGAATATTGGATAGATATAGCACCCTTTCCTTCATTAGATAAACTAGTATCAGGTTATCACTATATTATGGAATTAAATCAATATTTGCTGATAGCAAATAGCAAACAACAATACTGTACTATACAACCATTTCAAGTTGATAAAGAAGAAATGCTATAGACTGACAGATCTTACTTGATAATGGAGTTTTGACAGGTCATTAATGCTGCCTTTTACAACCACTTCCACTAACTCTTGGATCCCAGATGTAGACTCCAATGCTTCTTCTAGTCCTCCACTTTCAAATTCCCGAATATACAAGGGGCCAAAAGGAACCTGGGTACAAGGCAGATTTTAGTGTTAGATTCATTAACTCATAAAAATATAAATATAATAAAAATGCTAGATAAAGTGTTGTCATGCTAGAAGCATAAGACTCCCTAATGCAATTAGGAACAGGAAGGAATGCTGCCCAATGTAGACCAACCCTAAAAGGAAAAACAGTGTGTGCATTTCACAAGTTTACTCAACAGAAACAATCACAACTTAATCTTCTACTAAGATACAGCTTTTCTAGTTTAAACCCTTCAAAGAAAAGAGCTGACAAAACACCAAGAATGGTCAGAAATACACAAACCCTGACCATAGCAGCAAGAAGACATTTTCACATTGCAGATATATGAACTCGAAGCTCAGAGTTTTGTTTGAATGACATTTGAGTAAACTTGACAGTATTCAGGAGAAATGTGCAGCAAAAAGAGAGAACAGAAGACCTAGTATAAGTAGTATAGGTGTTCTTACAACATCTACACATCACTATGTTTTGGACAGCAAGGACAAATATTAAGAGTTCTCTGACAATGCCTGCAAAGCACTAGTCGAAATTTGTTCATCCACCACAGCCAGGACCAGAGACTTTGCAGAAACATGATCATGTTACATCGACAGTGCGTCTTGGCAACGATATGTCACTCAACTCCAGAATATTGCCCACTTATCTCCCGTTTGAACACAGTAATGCACTTTGTACGGTCAACAACACTGACTCACTTTGTGTTATTGAGACTGTGAAACCAGACTACTAAACTTGACACCTGTTACTGTGCTTTCAATGAAAACATAGCATTACTGTAACAATATTTTTTTTAGTTCATAAACCGGTCAAAAATTATTATGTGGATGTTTGTGAGGTTTCAAGGAATGGATTAAGGATATTCAATTTTATGTCAAGAATACAGTAAAGCATAGGGGAAGCAGAGGCTCTGATAACTGTGCCGAGCCATATGTTACACTGTGAATATAAAACAAAGAAACTACTTAAACAACAACACCTAGTTATCTTGAGGTTATCTTGAGAAGATTTCGGGGCTTAGTGTCCCCGCGGCCCGGTCCTCGACCAGGCCTCCACCCCCAGGAAGCAGCCCGTGACAGCTGACTAACTCCCAGGTACCTATTTTACTGCTAGGTAACAGGGGCTTAGGGTGAAAGGAAACTTTGCCCATCGTTTCTCGCCGGCGCCCGGGATCGAACCCGGGACCACAGGATCACAAGTCCAGTGTGCTGTCCGCTCGGCCGACCGGCTCCCTAGTTAGGTGATGTGACAAACTCGCTATCCTAATGATTAAAAATAAGGGAACTCCCACTCCTACTGAAGTGAGACAAGAGGTAATGATGATAAATAAATAAACAGAGAACCACGTTAAAAAATATTGGAGGATAAAATATTTATGGAATAACTAGGATACTGAATAGAGATAGTACCAGTACTTGTGTAAATACGATCAGAAATACTGATCAATTGGCTGAAAATTAACAATATATATATACACAAAACATCATTTTGTTTACATACTGCATGCAGTTCTAGTGGAAGCCTTCTGTATGCAATGGAGACTGTATATTATTGTATATCATCAACATACCTGTAAATAAGCATGTCTACGAACTGGCACAGTCATCTTTTTCCCTCTGTATTTTTTGTAGAGGAGTAACATGTCTAGGATGTACTCTAAAGCCAGTGTTGGGTGCCACCTAATGTAGCCATACAGCACTTCTTTAAAGTCAATCACACGTCCTCGCTCCTTAGAGACTCTGCAAGTTGTTCCCAGAAGAAAACTATAAAATACAGTACTTGTTTATCTTGTATAGAAGAACCAGAATATCTCCAAAACTACACTAAACACCAACAGTTTAATATACTGTACTATTTGCTATGTGGGAGTGAATACACATGTAAATGCAGTAACGGAAACATTATATCCCTTACTAAAAATAACACATGCCCAAAATAACAAAATGAAAAAAATGATTTAAATCATAAAATTGAGTAAAGAAGTTTGTTTAAAAAATTACATAATAAATAACAAACTTATATGCATGAAAAGACATAGTACTGTACAGTGGAATATGGAGCAAGGATGAGAACGGCATGATAATATAATGAGCAAACATGGTTGAAATTTACATCTATCTTACTGATGAAGTGCTGACTACGACAACAGCAGCGGGAAGTAGGAACGGTCAAATTTAAGAGAAGGTTTTCTGATAAGGTTTCACATCCAAATCAAAATTTACCTCTGCTTAATTGTATTGCAACTGGACTGCGTAAAGACTTATTATTGGTTGTATAGTGTTATCTACATTAGCAAAAATTCTGGTTTTATTTGGTTTGCAAGCAAAGTGCTGTCATACTAGTGTGATAATAGTGTACATAAACTTGCCTAGTTCAATCAGAGACCGGGCTGCAGAGACATTAATTCCTATAACTAACAAAAGGTAGGTAGATAGCAAAGGCACCTGTGCTTATTATTGCATATAAAACCAGTTTCTATTACTGTATTGTATAAACAATCTTTGAAGGTAACCCCCCCCCCCTAGAAATTACTCGGCTGTGACCCGAGTGTGCTGATATGGATTTTATTCAAGATAACTATAGTATTGGCAATATATTCCTCTTCATCACTAAGATCTTCCAGCACCTGCAAAGTTTTGCAATTTTTTACAGTATCTTTCAATGGTCTCTAGTGTGGTCATGCTGCAGTTACTGGTTGGAAGGTAATGTGCCAGCCATGGTGTCACATTCTTTCTAAGGCCCTGAAAGGAATCTAGGGCTCTCAGGATTTTTTCTTTCCAATATGGCAGATGATCCCCAAAGCCATCTAGGAATGGTTTATGTAAGCATACACCAGCCATGACTTGTAAGGAACCTGTACTGTGAGAAATCATCTCTCTGCAATTTGAGTAATCCACCCAATCATTGCTGGATGACTGGAAAAGTGCCAAGACTTAAACTGTGTGTTTAAGCTTAAAGTACATGTACAGTACTTTAAATTTGCTTACAAGTTTGCTTGATAACTTTTTAACTCAAAAGATTCAATTAAATTCATTGTAGAAACATGTTTGGTAATGATGTGTATCTTTTAATATTTATTGAATTCTACATTTATACCAGTAAAAGACCGTGTTATTTCTTATTCTAGAGTGAAGTAACTTAAAAGAATCAAGCATTTTTATGAATTTATGTAAGATTAAAAACATTTATAATAATATCCTGTAATAGGTCCAGATATGATTCACAATGAAAGGAAAACAATGAACTACTGCTATATCTTCCAAGATACAATGTTTACTACCATTTATTTAAGGTGTCTTTTTAGGCATTTAAAAGTTTTCAATGCAATACTGTATATAAAACAGTCATAATGCCACATATTTGTTAAATATATAATAGAGTCATTTGAATGGTCCATTCTAGAAAATGAAATATATGGGAATTAACCTATTTGGATGGATATTCAAATCCTCCTTATATGAGCATTAATGTTGTGGTTCAGGTGCACTATATAGAAATTCTGTATAGTACAGTACTACTTTGAAAACAAAATTATGAGAGAATCTGTGTCTGAGATAACTTACTTTTGTGGTGAACGCTAAGTCAGCTTGGAACATTGATCTTGGGATGCAGCGTGTTGAAGTTGACACTGCTTTCTGACAACTTCTTGATGTTTATTTGTTTACTTACATACATACATACATACATACATACATACATACATACATACATACATACATATAAAACAAGTAAACATCAAGAAGTTGTCAGAAAGCAGTGTCAACTTCAACACGCTGCATCCCAAGATCAATGTTCTAAGCTGACTTAGCGTTCACCACAAAAGTAAGTTATCTCAGACACAGATTCTCTCATAATTTTGTTTTCATAGTAGTACTGTACTATACAGAATTTCCATATAGTACACCTGAACCACAATATTAATGCTCATATAAGGAGGATTTGAATATCCATCCAAATCAGTTAATTCCCATATATTTCATTTTCTAGAATGGGCCATTCAAATGAATCTGTATTATTATTGCTGATGAACCAGTCAACATCTAATTGTTTATATAAGAAACCAACAGCACAAGTGCATCAGACAGCCTCGTGGTGCAGCCCTGACAAGTGACGCCGAGAACCATGCTAGGCAAAAACTTCTTTTATGTACAGTGTTTTTCACCATAATTTATGTTTGAAGCTTTGTAGGTCTTATTCAGAAGGAAAGATGTGTACAGTATGCAAAAAATGTCATAAGGCAAGAAGTATCATTGAAAATGCCTACCTGAAACTGAGAGAATGAGAAAGAAATGCTGTATGCCAAGTCTTGTGCCAACCTTTGACTATGAAGATGCAGCGGCACCGAGATGTGCCAATGGTAATGCCCATTGTAAGTTTAAGTTACATGAAGCTCTTCACTTAATAGTGCAGGAAAAATCAAACATCATGCAGAGTTTATTGTGATACACCAATGGCTAATAGTGTAAACTAAGGTTATACTGCTTACCTCTAGGATACAGGCCTGGAAAATATTTGTGAAATATTAAATTTATTCATCTAAATCAAAATGTAAGTTTATAGTTATCAATATTCGTTTTGTACAAACAGATTCAGAAAAAATATTATAACTGTACAATATTTTAATGGTACGTATGTGCATAACTATTGTGAACCTGGATCTAAGAGACCCCTAAACATAAGTAAATATTACCTGTTAATAATTTCCATCACATCTCGTATTGCATCAGCCAATCCCTCAGTCATACCAGAAGTGGGTTTATGTCGTGGATTGGCATTGCCTGGTTGGTAAGCTGCCTTGCTCACAAAGTCCCAATGCAATACTTCCTCTTCAGAGCCTGCCATCCACTTTTGTAGACTTGCATCTGTGCCTAGTGAAAAGAAATAATAGGTTAGCAACTTGCAAACAAATAACTAAACAACAACCAAATTAGAAATTATGGCTTATAAATCCAACACTGATTACAAGGGAGTTGGACCTTCTCCCTTATCAATGAGTTGATGAATAAAAGAGTTTTGAATAGTCTAAACATCTGGTTGTTTATCTTTATGCCTGTTTGAGTATCTTTAGCATTCTTCCCTACATTACTCTCCTATATTCCTCCAGCCTGTTGTCTAAAATGATGAATACGAAATGAGATAACAGAAAAAAATTATATTGATTTATTTAAGATATGTAGTGCATATTAAGTTGCAAAAATACCCAATTGAATTTTAAAAAGTTTTTGTGAGGCAATAGGGAGACAAATGAAAGATATGGAGTAATATACTTGACCCAGAGTTAGGAGAAACAATGCATCAGAGATCACATAGATTCTATAGGTAAATAATTACAAAGTTCTTTTATGGCTAAATTTCTCATCATACATCTCAGTTGCACCATTACACAGCAGGTACTGTACTGTATATTGATGGAAACCTCTCTTATTGCAAGAATTATACCCAGTACACATTAAATATTGCAGCAACATTACCCAAATGATCAAGGAAGACTCCAGAGGCTGGTTCATTGAGACAGGGCATTGGTAGTCCTGCCTCTTCACTGGTTTTTGCCAGTTCACGGATGAGACGTACTATCTCTGCCTCACTCGATCGTATGTTTAAACCCTGAGAAATGAAGACATGTAGATAACATTTCAGGCTCTTCAAATGGCAAAAGTAATAGGTTATTTTATATAGGCCAAAGAGTACTATAATTTACTCAATAAAGCATGTAATGAAATATTGTACTTCTTTAGTGTAAGTGATATACTGTACAACATAATACTGTGCAGTCAAGTCGCCTATATCCAGGTCCCATGTACAGCACAGTATCTGGAATTCTCAACATTCTGACAGCATGTACCTGTACATGGCTTTACATGCTGTCATTTTGCAGTACAATATTTGAATATGAAAGCAACTTATAGAAGACAAGTTAAGATGGATGTAATAATTTCTCACTTAAACATAATAATTGCACAAGTGGACTGGCCTTTCTTTCCCCCAGTACATTCTGATATTTAAGGTTATCCATGACACCCATCTAGTTACTGGACAAGACTCAATAGTGCTTAACTTAGCTGGCAGTGGCGTATACACCACAGCACTATGTCGGTGACCCAAAGCCATTCTGTCTGCACAAGACAACCTGGTAGATCGTGAATACGAACTAAGAAAAGCCATGGCCAGACTATGGGTTGGCTATTAGTGCTCTCTTGGTCATCAGGTCATGCCTATTTATACAGAGCTATTCCTCCCTCCCACCACCACCACCCAAAAAAGCAATCTGAATATGACAACAAAACTGTCTAGGATGGGCACAACTACATACCTGAATATAAGAATGGAGTCGATAAAGATGAGTGTGGTTTTTAATCGGGTGCAGGGTAATGGCTCGGTGAACCTCGCGTTGTTTAAGTGCACCCGTAAAGGCTTCCGTGCCGCTGCTATTGTGATACAAAATACTCTGCATCTGGAACAATAATTATACAGTACATTATTCATTTTAACTTTTATAAAAATTACAACTTTAGATTACAGTATTATGCTGAATGTCCAAAAAATAAAAATGTCTTTCTTGTCTTCAGATCACTACATGTTGCTTCAGTTTCACTGATTGGCCACGCTACAGAGCCTATGTTGAACTTGGAGCAGCAAGTACAGTACCAACAGCCTCATTAATCAGGCTGTCATAAAGAAGCATACGCAACAGACTTTGCTTCTGGGGTGGTGATGGTCCCTGAAGCCACCTCAAGGCAAATTAACTGAGGAAACACAATTGCCTTAACACTCAATTTTTTTTGGTGAAAGTGAGCTAAGACCGACTCAAGCCTGGCCTTGGGCCGAGCATGGGGAGTAGAAGAACTCCCAGAACATCAAGCAGGTAATTCCTCACTGTCACTTGTCCATACACCACACACACACACATTCTTATATGACTCCCCCCCCCACCGTCTCTGCCTGACAGCCTCTCCCTCTGATTATCTAAGGCTTGAGACAACAGTGGACATCAAGACTGTATGTATAGAGAAACCACCATAAATCATCAGGAAATACTAGGCCTACAAGTCGCTTAGAGAGACTTAAAGTGTACAGGACTAAGGTAATATACCACAGTGCAGGATAATAGAAGAATTAGGCTAATGAAGAAGATATTTAAAAATGAAGTAGCATAGAAAATAGCTAACTTAACATATAGTTTAAAGTTAAAATATGATAAAACCTAGGAAGAGAGAACTTATTCTTCACATTAAACTACTAATGAGTTGAATAGGATAAAAACCCACACTTGTGTATTTGTTAAATTTATGTAAAGAATTTACACCAAGTCTTTTGCACTCTCCTGAGTGCTTTGTCAAGGTCTGAATGTGTCTTTAGGACGAGACTTACATCTCAATATTTAAATCCAACATTTTAGACATTGAGATGTAAGTCTCGTTATAACCTCAATCCTTGACAAAGCACTCTGTAGTGTGAAAGACTTGGTGTCAATTCTTTATGTAAATTTCACAAATACACAAGTGAGAGTTTTTATCCTATGTTATTATGTCTGTGACAAGATATTACCATTACTTAATGAGTCGAATGGTAATTTGGAACACTCAACTCTGCAACACAAAGTGAGTACTTTCCCACCTGATCTAATAAGCTCTCACACTCCTGCTCACTCAATCTCTCCCCGCCCCCCCCCCCACAGCAACAGGTGTTCCTGCAAGAATTGCAGGAGAGGAGAAGGAAGGACGGGCAGTGGGCAGTCAGCAACAAAAACATGAAGTGTCCAGTGAAAGCTTTGCTTGCGGGCGGGCACTCCTGCAGTGATTCAAACTGGTACTGATGCCGACGCCAAAGCATCAACTTTTGTGAACGACTGCGTAACAGATATTGACGAACAGATAAATTCAGCAAAGGAAATATTAGTTAAATATATTTAGTGGGTGAAATGGAAAGGAGAGAGAGAGGGAGAAGCAGAACGAAGAGGCATGAGTTACGATGAAAGGCTGAGTGAATTGCACCTCACGTCGCTGGAAGAAGAATTTATTGGGCAGTCAAGGATGGTAGTTATAGTAAATGATCGAGAGCAATGATGGTGGCAGTTGATGTGACAGGTTGCCTATGATGAGTGAGTGTTGAGAGCGCCAGCATATACAGTGGCCTCAGTGCTGACAACAGACTGGGCTATGATCCCTCGCTGACTTGGTGTAGAAAGGCGTGCGGTCAGCTGACACCCCTGGATCCTGACAACCAGTCCTCACTATGTATTTACGTATGTAGGTTAGCTTAGCATTTTAAAAGCAACAAATCACCTTCTGTGGTTGATTGTTCAATAAACCCCTGAACTATATGTTTAACACATCTCTAACCCTGTCCATGGAGGACAGAAGAAAATGTATATATGCTGGTTAGCATTGTAAATGTGTGGCCACGTCTGTGGTAGAAAATAATAATAATAATAATAATAATAATAATAATAATAACAAAGTCCTTACTAACAGCCGTTCTCTAGCTTGCTGCTTCACTCCTCCTCCCCACCTCCATTATCACCAACTACTATCACCATTTTACACAAGCCACCATCACTATTAACAACAAGAGATCTCACACAGCTATCACGGTATTTATCTCAATTTACTTGAAGGCCACTATCTACCTAGTGGGCTCAACGGGGGACAAGAAGCAGGCGGCTTGCCAAAGATCTCCCCCCTCCCCACCATTATTCTTGCTGATTTTTACAAATTAATTTTTAATAGATCATAAACTTATGCAATTTATATAATTTGTTTGGTATTCTATATTGTGTTGACATACTTAGAACCTTATAATTATCCCCCGTGTCATAACCTTCCATTTATGTCTATACAGTACATCAGTAATGTCACCACTTACACTTCTATTCCTCTGCTCTTGTAATTACACCTTCGCAATACATCTCCTGTGCCAGGTGAGTACGACGGGTTCACCATAGCCCGTGCTACTTGGAACTTTTTGTTCCCAGTAGCTGAATCTAAAGCAACAACATTGTAATTACACCCGCCACTTACCTGGGTTGAATTCTAGTAGCCACTTTCCCACAAATAGTGTCCTTTACTTAATTTAGCCACTTTTGTATCATTTCTGTACTTTGCCTAAATCACCCTGTAGTAATTTTCGGCATTTTTCTCATAAGTTTCGCATATACAAGTATCGACACGAGGAATTCTTTAGCCTACTTTAGGTGCAATTTTCATGGGGTCCAGACCAAACACCTTCCCTCAGTTGGTTAAATTGAAAACATGACAAAAACCACCATTTTTTCGAACTTAAATAACACTTAATACCATTATAATGATTTTGGACTTTAATATCATTTAATATTATAATTAGGAGAAAATTTAATTTATGTAATTTAATACTTAACGTTAGGCTAGGGGTTTTGTCCTAAACTAAATTTTCATATATTTAGAAAGGTGTGGGTGCTAGACTTGAGAGTCGCATACCACTACGTGTACTAACCTAGTTGTGTTTGAGCTTTGGCTCTTTGGTCCCGCCTCTCAACCTTGATTGATCACAAGATCAATCTTGTGGTGTACAGATTCCTGAGCTTCTCGAGCTCCATCATATTTACATTTGAAGCTGTGTATGGAGATAGATTTCCACCACATCACTTCCTAGTGCTAACTATTTACTAACTATTCTGACACTGAAAATGTTCTTTCTAATGTCTCTGTGGCTCATTTGGGTACTCAGCTTCCACCGGTGTCCCCTTGTTCGTGTAACACCCGTGTTAAACGATCCTACCCCGTGGGTGTGTGTGTGTGTGTGTGTTTGTTTTGGCTTGCTGCCCGTGACTCCTTGGGAGAAAAAAAAAAAGGATAGATGGATGGGCGGTGAGTGAGGGAGGGGGAAGAGGTGAAAGGAAAAAGAAAATGAGGGAGACAAAATAAGAGGGGAACAAACAAACAAAGAGGCAGCGAGAACGTCGGAGGAAAAATAAATATAAATTAAAAGCCTCAGAATTAAACAGACGATATAGATCACAATATACACAATAGGACACAGGCCCCAGACCTGGGTGCCTCATCAAGCGTGTGTACTCATCTAGTTGTGCTTGCGGAGGTTGACCTCTGGCTCTTGGGTCCCGCCTCTCAACTGTGGTCACCCCAGCCACGCTCACCACCACAAACCCCATCACCACCACCACCATCATAACTCAGTCTTACAAATTTCATAACAAGCCCATTGCTTTTGACAATGTAACTGCTTCGGTAATTGCCCCCCCCCCTTCTTGAGGCCCCAAACTATGTATTAACTGCAACATATAATTATTTTGACGGGGACAGGAAACCTGTTTGTGTGTGTATACTCATCTAATTGTGCGTGCATGGGTTGAGCTTGGGCTCTTTGGCCCCGCCTCTCAACTATCAATCAACAGGTGTACAAATTCCTGAGCCTACTGGGCTCTATCATATCTACATTTGAAACTGTGTATGGAGTCAGTCTCGACCACATCACTGTCTAATGCATTCCATCTGTTAACTACTCTGACACTGAAAAAGTTCTTTCTAACGTCTCTGTGGCTCATTTGGGTACTCGGTCTCCACCTGTGTCCCCATGTTCGCGTACGTGTGTTACACAGTTTTTCCTTAACTACCCTGTCAATTCCTCTGATAATTTTGTAGGTAGTGATCATGTCTCCCCTTACTCTTCTGTCTTCCAGTGTCGTGTGGTGCATTTCATACAGCCTTTCCTCGTAATTCATGCTTCTTAGTTCTGGGACTAGCCTAGTGGCATGCCTCTGAACTTTTTCCAGCTTAGTCTTGTGCTTGACAAGATACGGGCTCCATGTTGGGGGCGCATATTCCAGAATAGGCCTTACATATGATATACAAGGTTCGGAATGTGTGTTTGTGTGTACACAAATCAATCATTTATATACATTCCGTCGATTATAATAATAGTCGTTTATATTAACCAACAAATTCATATTACCTGTCTTAGAAATAGTACACTAATAGGTAAATACATTAAGGACAAAGCGACAATTTCCGTGCCCTCGTTAAACAAAATAATGCCGTATATTTATAGAGCTTGACTGTGAAGCTCAACAAATGTCAGATGTAAAATGCTGTTCCCCACACATTTCAAGTATCAACAATCTTCACATATTTCGACCGTGATTATCAACCTCATTTACCCCCAACAACTCGACAAAGACTAGACACCGTGAGCCAAGTTCTCACAGACAGATAGAACAAAATTAGAGAAACAAAAACATCAATAAAAATTATTATTAGGTGGGATTGCCAGAGTCATATGACACCGCCTACTGACGCAGCGAGAGGCCAAGTACGGGATGGCGAACACTGGCTGCCTCGTCAGTGGTAGCTCCCACTCCCTTTCAACAGCGACGTTTCCCTGACCCAGACTCTGACCACGCTTACTTGACCCTCCCTTTGGCACGCTAAGGCGGTACCAGAGAGGGGAAAGCAAGCATAG